CTGGGCAATTGAGAGATTCTCATTGATATGTTTCCCGAGAAAATTAGAGACCTTCCCATTTCTCTTCTTCCGTTCTCAGTACGATCGCCGGAGAAATTTTTTATCGATTGAATTTTTGGTTTTAGCACTAAATATGTGGCCAAGTGAGTGGATGAATGAAACAGTCCAAAAGCTGATATAAAGATGAAAAAAATACCATTTTTCCTTTAAAAAATATGATTTTTAATAGCATAGTTGTGGATACAGTGAAGTTTCTTCTTCTATATCCTTCTTCCAACAATGGAGAAGCAAATGTTTCTGAAATATTCAAAGAGTACTAAAAGATCATTTGCAAGTAAATTACCCAATTCAGAGACTTGAGATAGTTGAAAGATAATGCTCGCAGTCGAAGACAAGCTGTATAATTCCGAACAATTCTTTTTCATCTCCGATCACTCGATAATTTCCACAAGCGCAATTCCCCCTCTTTATACGAAAAACAGAAGCAGCCTCATTTTCTGAATTACAAGTATTTTGGGGGAGTACAAGAACAGCTGAGGCATCTATCCAAAGGAAATGATCAGAAGCAGAACTGAATAATTACCGTAGTCTGCGACATGATTCCAACCAATGCGATGAAAGTTTTCATTACGAAATTAAGAAACCACACAGTTTCGTGTATTCCAAACCCACTTCTTCACAATCAACACCATTTAAAACGATTACTGCAGATGATGAAACCAATTCACAACCTTTGATCTTTTTCCTCAGTTACTCAAAATATTCTGCACATTCTTCTCCCATTTGAATGTGGCACTACGGCTTCTTGATTCCAACACAATGCACGACCATCTAAACGATTACTGAAGATGATCCAATCCAAAAAACAGCAGATGAAACAAGTTTCGTAACGGATTTCGAACTACAGATTCTTGATTCCAACACACAACGCATCACATTAATACCATCTAAACGATTACTGATGATGAAACAATTCAACCATTGCATATGAAACAAGTTTCATTACGGGTTTCGCAATACGGATTCTTGATTCAAACACAATGCATCACATCAGAACTAAACATTCTTCTACCATTCTCAATGTGGCAATAGCTACTCTCAAGTCTCAATGTATACAAAACCAAACCATTCATATTTATGTGATCTCATCTATAAAGAATCGGAATTTCAAAATCTCTAAACCCTAATTCCCAAATACGAATCTCACCAGATCCAAAAAAAGCTTTCGCAGACAACAACGACGAATTCCTCAACTAACGTTACTGCTCAAATTGTCGCTGATGGCGAGAAAGACAAAGAGAAAGTGAGAGCTGAGCGTCGTCGCACTGTTTACGCTTGAGGTTTGTTCCGCCGCTAGAGCAAAGCGACCTCACCGCCTCGGATTCCTCAGGACAAATCTCCGCCACAACGCACTCCGCAAACGCCCTGTTCAGATGTCTGCAACCGGAACTCCTTGCCGGTCCTTCCGGCATCCGACGGTGGCACTGTAACAGAGCTTCCTGTAACCGATCGCAAGATCTCATCGGAATCTCCCCTGAGTTTTTCCGGCGAATCCGTCTGATTCATCGGAATCTTCATTGTTTGTTTCAAAATTGCTTTTAACTTCAAAACCCAAATTTCAATAAAAGCCCATTTATTGTAAATGGAGTCAAGCCCATTTACTTTTTATGTCGATTTTACATTACACGCCAAAGTTAAAATGTAACTCATTCTTCTCCACCATTCCAAACATTTGGTCCAAAATGTAGTAACTTTCTCAACGATTTATGTTCACTTTGAAATCTCTTTCAATAAATATCGTTTATAGTTGACAAAAAAAA